GCAAAAGGTAAAGCATGGATCTGAAGATAATGCAGAAAAATGCTCAGAGGATAAGGATAACTTGCCAAAAAGAAAACGCTCTCGGTTAATTAATAGTGTTTTTAGTGATGACGAAGAAAACATTGTTTAATTTATATTAATATGTATCACTTAAAAAAATTTTAATGAAGATATTTATCTTAATTATGAAAATATACTAGCATGTTTTTTAATTTTTGGAACCTAACCCTTCTTTTCGTATTAGTTCTTTGTTTCGTATAACACGAATTCGCATAACACGGCAATTTTTTGGAACGTAACTACCGTGTTATACGGGGGTTACCTGTATAACCTGGAAGCATAAAATTTCCAGTATGTTGGCTAATTAAAATAAGAAAATTTGGCTAGAAAATTTTGAAGTCATAAATCCATCTGTTATTATGTATAGGGAAAACATACTATTATACGACCAAAAAAATGGAATATTCAGCTATTAATGCTAGATAGTTCATTTTTTCAATGATGACCAATCCTTCCAGCTTCCAAGCTGAAAACATTTATTTATTTCACTATTTAAATGCAGTAATGAACTTGATAATTACAATTTATTTTAATGTAGCTCTGCACTCTTTCTTCTGACAAAATTCTGAATTATGGCAAATAAATTTATTCTATCAGACTTCATTTAAAATCTAAAAATAATGGCACAAATAGCCATTCTGTTGAAGCAATGCTTGATGTTGACTAGACATATCTACTGTCACTGAAAATTAAGTCATGCAGATTTTCTTCTTGGTTCATACTGCCAACAATGGAATCAATCTCCTAAATATAAAACGTATACAGGTATACCTCGCCTTACGTCGGTAATTGGTTCCAGGAAAACGACGTAAGTCGAATTTACCTGTCTCCGAATCTACTTATCACTAGGAAAGCATTTTAAATAATATATGGTTAATAAAAATCTATTTTAAGCTTACAAACAAATAAATTTTAGTTTTTAATATAGTACAAAAAAAATAATCTAAATTTACGAATGCATGTACTGTAAATACAGTACATACTTGTATATATTTTAATATGATTTTATGTGCTTTAAACGTTTATCTAGTGATATTACAACTTTAATATTTGTAGCGGACAGACGTAAAGTCGAATAAAATGACTTAAACTTGATTTTTATTTTTCCATATACTTTTTTAACAAGCAACGTATAATCGGGAACAACGTAACTCG